ATATCTTTCGGAACTGAAATGAGTACTGGGCCAGGCCGGCCCTCCACTGCACGCTGAAAAGCCGAGCGAACAACCATGGGCAATTCCCACACGCTCTGTACAGATGTTGACCACTTCGTACAAGTACGTGCTAGTTCATCAATGTTGATTTCCTGGAAAGCTCCCTTGCCCTTGGCAGCTGTGGGCACTTGGCCACAGATCACTACGATGGCCGTTCCATCGAGCAGGGCATCTAGCATAGGTGTAACTGTATTTGAACTTCCGGGCCCTGAAGTCACCATAACCACGCCGGGCTTTTTGCTGGTTCGGTAGTAGCCTTCTGCCATATGCCCCGCTCCCTGCTCATGATGTGCAAGTATGAATTCGAATCGCTGGGCTCGGTAGAGGCTGTCCACTAACGGGAGAGATGCGCCGCCGGGGTAGCCAACTGTAATCCTTAGCAACAGTATCTTCTAATATCAGCTGAATTGGGGAAGTACAGATATGCTTCACGCCCTCTCTTCCAAGAAGCTCGCATAAAACATCTCCCCCCGAAAGTCCAACACAATCGCATCCATCCATTTGCGGTGAGAGATAAATAAATTATCATTTATCGAGGGAGGCCGAGGTTGCTTGTCTAGGATATTAGTTGTCTCTCTAGCCTTTCTCCTTTTATCTGTGACAGGCACTGTAAGACGCGTCATCGATGGCGACTTCCCAGTATATGGTGATAAGGAATGGTCCTGTGCTTGGACACGCATGACTTGAATATGGTCCTATGCTTGCAGTCGACGAAGCCTGCTCATTTTTTCTGTACAGGAAAACTCTCCGAAGAACCAATGGCAGCTTTGTCGAGTGATAAGACACTCTTGGAGGGGAAGATCTCAACCTCACAGTAGTTCTTTCGGGGGGAGGGGGGGGCTTGTGTTGCACAGGAAGCCGGTTGTGAGACCTTATCCTCCCATGGCTGCTAGGAGGAATTTGAAATCCTGACCATGCAACACATTTCCCTGCAAAAGCATGAATAGAAATGCCCAGAGTAGTAATACCCATGGATAGTAGTACCCAATAATCTCTAAAGTATAAGAATCTACCCAAAGGTTGTTACACAGCAGCTGGAGGAAAATACTGCCGCCCAGTTCCGCCTTGACGTAGAACACCTAGCTTCATAGAGTAGTGATATCATCCTATCGTAAACTTTCTTTCATAATGGCTTTCAAATATACGACGAAAGCCTAGTTGCACGAGATACTATCGGGAAACCTTCCGAGCAAGGATCGAGGATACGCATGTGATTGCCATTTACTTGATGTCGTCAAATTAAGGAAACATTCTTGCTAAACCCAGTAATCAGACACTGAAAGCAAGGGATTGAGGTATGGCTCTTGGTGGAGCTTACCTGCCAACAGACGTCACTCAGTTACCGAATGAAAACAGGTGCATTTGGGACCATATCGAAGTTTTTTGATTACCGGCTTGCAAGAATGCGGTGGACTCCTGATGTTATCATCGTAAGGATCTTCTCGTATTTGTCTAGGGTAGTACAAGATATTTCGGCTGCGTGTTGCTTGCGTGTTGCATCAGTCGATCTCGAGGGCGCTATCTTCTTCCGCTCCATGATTGGAGCACTGTCGGTACCTGAAAAAGAGTAGAGGCAAACTGAGATGTGCCTTATCTGTTTTGAACAGGGACAAATTCATACAATAGAAGTATCATCAGCGGTTGATCCTCAATCCAACTCCGTTATTTCTCCAGGTGCCAGCATGGCAAACTGCATATACCAATACTCCGTACTAGGAGCTCTCATGAACGGCATCTGTCAAGATGGAACGACGGCACAAAACATCCTCAACCATGGTGACCATGGCATCGGGACCATCCGCGGTCTTAATGGCGAGTTGGTGATCATCGACGGGGTAGCGTATCACTTCCCAGCGAACGGACCCCTACGCCCCGTCGAAGCCGCAGACATCATCCCATTCGCGATGACTACCAGGTTCCAGCCCACGCTGACCAGCCATGTTCCGTGTATCTCCATGTCTTCTCTGTTTGACTCCCTGTTACCTGTATTTCCTGATGAGCAGAACGTCTTCCTCTCAGTCCGCCTTGTTGCCTCATTCTCGCGGGTCGTTTTTCGCGTGATCCCGGCACAGTCCAAACCACGGGAAAGCCTTTTAGCTCTGGCAAAAAGGCAGGAGATCCGGGAATGCACACGTATACAGGGCACGCTGTTCGGGTTCTGGTCACCCAGGTATACCAGTGGGTTTAGCATCCCAGGATTTCACTTGCATTTGCTGTCCGCGGATCGTACTGTGGGTGGCCATGTTATTGATTTTGCGGCGGAGGATGGGCAGCTGGCAGCAGCAGTGGTGAGGAATTACCAGGTGGAGCTGCCTGCTTCGGAGGAATTTCGCGAGGCACCCTTGAATTGTGTGAAGGAGCAAGATCTGCACACTGCTGAGGGATCTCCCGCGCCTCGTTAAGCTTGAGTTGACCGTGGTTGAGTGGTTACTAGAAGGGGCAACGGGGTACCTAGATCTTGTCGAGTACACACCAACCCACGCAATTGTACCTAGCTTTATAATGGGGTTTGATAAGCCGGAAGATCCCATCTTGCTATAAGACAGAGTTGAGCTTTGAGATCAGACGAAGACATTTATCGGGAGACGTAGATTTCCTATAACCATACCTATTTCCCAGATACAAGACGTAGCGTGATGCAAGCAATCAGGTGTTTAAGCACATTCAGGCAGGTCATTGTCATACTCATATGTTTATGTGGCACCTGCTTACTAGCCTTTTCGTAATCAACAAAACCCTAGTCTAATAGTAGAATGAAAGAGTATTGCACCTGAGATTACTTTCCCAAATAACCCGGTAGATATACGTTCCACAAAGCGAACATAATCGCAAGCTGATCAAGATAAGGCTGGGAGGACCCATGTAGTCACCGATTCACTGGGAATATTTCCACTCCACTCCTCTCCGCTCTCCGTCGACAGGGTCAAGTAGATATCGTTACTGAACATATTCTCGATGACGACTGTGCGCGTTCCATCCGGGTTGAGGGATGCCACGGACTGCAAGCCCTCGCTAGCCGAGTAGGTATAGCTTCCCGTTCCGTTTAACACGGTCGCACCAGGAGGCATGAGCTTGCTGAACTGTGCCATCATGTAGTAGGCAGTATTGAGGGTATAGCTGTCGTCGTTGTTGATGGTGACCAAGCCCTGGCAGGTATCGCACCCACCACTAGTCAAATGCGGGCCGTCATCAGTGTTTGTGCCCAGAGTCCACGCCATGACCCCCGACGCGTAGTTCTGCAGGGGGCCCATGGTAAAATCAGCAGCCTGGTGCCATGATCCGGAAGCTGGTGTCCAGCATTCCGTCATGTATTGCTTGACCCCAGGGTTGGCGCTGTAGAACTGGCTGAGAACAGTCCAGTCCACATCAGTAGCGTAGCAGTGCCAGGCTACAGTGTCGACGTATTGACTTGCTTCATCAAGCACAGTCTGAGGGTACGATGGTTCATCTGGATGTTGACTGTTAGCAATTGTCAAGCTTATCGTCGAGAATGGCGTACCTACCAGTATTGTGGTCGTAGGCCCAGACTTTCGTGCTCAGTCCAGCGTCGGCGAGAGCTGGCCCAATGTAGTCTTGGATCAGCTGCGCAGACTCATAATCGTAAACATACATGGTGGGATACCCAGATTGACTATTCAGCGGCTCATTCTGAATAGTAATGGCATCGACCGTAGCCCCCAATGATTCGTACGCTTGGATGTATTTCACGAAGTACTGCGCGAATGCACTGGAGTAGCCGGTGCTCCCCGTGCCACCACTGGTAAGGTAGCCATCGTTGAGGTTGTTATTAGTCGTGTCGCCATCGATCACACCATTCAATTTCATCCATCCGGGTGCACTCCATGGGGACCCAAGTACCTTCAGATTAGACTGCAAGGATTTCATCGTGGCCAACATTTCCGCCATAGCAGTGCCACGGTCGCCAAGACCGAAACCAGAAAGTGAGGGATCTGCTTCGTTTCCATTGTCATCGTAGGTGTAAACCGGATCACCAGATAGATCGGATGCGCCGATGGTATGGCGCATGAGAGAGAAATTGGCACCATCCGAAGTCATCAACTCATTGAGGAGCTGTTGAAGGGTCGAGCTCGACAATGTGTTGAAAGACGTGACGGTCGCATCGGTCACAGCAGCCCCAAACCCAGTAATTTCCTGCTTGTGACCGGACGATGTATCATCGATACTTAGTTTCCAGGTAGATTCCGACCCTGGGCTTCCACTGCCCTGGATAGGGGCCGCGATCGACGAGAGCTTGTAGGTGCCCGATGAATCGGAGCAGTATGCGGAGGCATCGGTGGCGCGTTTCTCGAGAGAAGCATGGCCTAGGGATGCCAGCCCAGCCACAGCATACCACAACATCAGACTCATATTTGTAGTGAAAGAGGTGACCATGAAGTGAAGTAAGTCGAGAGTGCGGGATGCAAGCAACCAGGAGTCTCAGAGATAATATATCCTGCGCCATGTTTTGGCCCCCAAGTGGGAGAGGTTCAGGGATGCCCTGGTCCCGTCTGTGGTTGGAGGGACAAGTCCCAAGCATCGCCGAAGCTACTGTAGCAAACATGTGCTAGTTTACTGACAGGAACGAACTCTAAGATAAGATAACCTGCCTAATTGAGGAAATGGTAGGTGAGATTGTACCGTTAGCGAGAGGTGCTGAAAGCTTATTCGCCTGTATAATTATCGCTGGCCGCATGCACGCGAGTCCCGCGCACCCCGATGCAAGGGGGATGGAGATCACTTCGGGGCCAAGTTAACTTGATGAGAGTCAATTGATTGCCGAGACCTTGTCAGGCTCACCCTGCAGTATTTTAGCTCGACTCATTTGGAGGTTGTAGTGTCCTTGTTTTGTGGCTGATGGTTTATTCTTGTGACTGATTTCGTGTTGTTGTTGGCTGTTGCTGCGCACATCTCTAGCCATGGATAGGTTGTTACGACAAAAATCGGGCAACATGTGGTTGTGTGGGGTAGTGGTCATCCCTTCGGATTTTGAAGACTTTGTTGTTTCCAAAAGTTCCGACAACCCCGGTTCGAACCCGGGCACGACCTATCTTATATGATTTTCTTTTTCTTTTTCTCGGGCATCTCCCTGATATCAATTTGATGTTCTTAACAATCCCTGCCATGTGTCACAATAAGCTTCTCTCACTCTAAGATTAGTTTTCAGCGCTGACAGTAGGAGGTAACTTCCCGCGAGGCTACAGGAACCACCAAGTTAACCCCCGTCTCACCTTCTCTCCCGTCGATAGGCAGAAACGTCTGGCCTCCCATCTCTGTGCAACATAAATATCCTGTATCTGCCCCCTCTTTCGCCAGTCATACATCTCTGTTACATATCGCCTTCTTCACCACCACTGCCATCACCACCATCAGCAACCATGGATGAATCCAGGCCAGAACAAGATAACTCCGCCACTTCGGATCAGAGTACCGTGGCTGCCATGCAGAACTTGACAGCATCGATTCAGAGCCTAGTGAGGTTGCTTCACGAGGAAAGTGAGCGACGAGAATGTCAAGTGAAACCAAAGAGCGCTAAGGACAGCGATCCTGTCCTAAAGGCGCTGAGCGAGGAGATTGCAGCCGGGCGGCCAACGCACATCCCAGAGGAGAATCCTGTGGAGCTCATGTCACAAGAGGAGATCGATGAAAAGAATGAATCTTATAGGGAGAAGTACACAGGTATGTGTTGCCCCCAAAACCTTTCAACACTAGGTGAATCTCGAAGAGATAGCGAATTCGAAGCAATACTAACACATTGCAGCCTTCTGGAAGGATTTGCCTTCCCCCCCAGTTGACATAAAAACCACTGACGATGCTTACCAATGGGCCTTCGACCTATATCCTCAGATTTATCACTCTCTGGGATGGCATAAAAATGACGATCTCCTTTTTAATGCAGACAGTCTAACCAAACACCGTGACGACCTTCTAGAGGCACTTCTCGCCGTTGAAGCATATCGGCGTAAGCAATTTGATTGTCCTCTGGAGCCATCACGTGCGGCGTTCGAATATTCACGACTCCCTCGCCTACTGTTGATTCTCGCTCGTTTGGAAGCCCGGCGCAATGACGGTTTGGAATGTCGCGACGGAGGCTGTGTGGATTGTCGCTACTTCGGCGCCGACCAAACCCTCCAGGTTCTGATTGAAGTGGGTCGAACACTACACCACGACAAATACTGGAGTGCGAATGACACAACTTTGCAGGAACTGCTGCATCGCTGTTATGCCCGGCGTATTCTATCTCAGCCTAATGCTGATAATCCTGATGTTTTGCGATACCAGTTCCATCTCATTTACGACTGCCTGGGCGCGTTGAACTTTACGTCGCGGTTCCTTGAACTTCGAGATGCGCTTTGTCTTACCTTCTATACCAAATATCAAACGGAGCCAATCCATAAGGTATTTGACATGGTCAAGTGTCATAGAAGCTCTATGAAGGGCATTGAGGAATTCAAGGAGCTTCCACTTGAAGAGTTCCCTGGTCCGACTTTCTCCCCTGACATACTCACGGTTCAGTACCTGCAGGACTTTGGCGGCTTGAGAATTGAATGGACAGATAATCTGGATGATCATCTCAAGATATTCACGGGCCGCAATGCGCTCAGGATCTTTGCTCATCCCACATTCTTCTACAATTGCCGAGATCTCGTGGAAAGAGATTATATTGAGCCCTTGCACCTTGAGTTATCTCGGACGTACGCCCTTCTTTTTAGACCATCATCCCGACTGGCACTGCGACTGCTAAAAGAAGCGACCAGGTCAAATGAGATCACTTGGCTGGGAAGGAAGATCGATCCGAGTTCCCATCGGCCAGGTATGGAACAGGGCACTAGCAAGTCGTTTGATGTCGATCTGGCCAAGCCATCAACAACCCGTATCCTGGAGAACTTCCATCGCTGCTCGCTTCCCCCCAGCATTCAAGCCGCTTATAACGTCGCCAACCCTTTTGACAATATCAAGGATACTAGCTTCTTCAATCAACACAAGTTCACAACCAGCTCCATGCGGCAGATTCATGCCCTCGCTCCGTACTATCCAGAGGACATTACGTTTATGATAATGTCTATCTTTCAAAACGGTTTCCATTCAAACGAGGCTTTCATAGACTATGAGTACTTTGGTCCTCGATTGCGTCGCCTCAAAACATATCTGGACAACCACCAGCCCACCACACTGAAGCAGCTGTGGTTTGACAGGAGGGACGCTCGAGCGTGGTGGACTTTTTGGGGTGGCGCTTTCTTCCTCTTCGTGTTTGCGGTGCTGGCTGCTGTCAATGTGAGATTCCTGGCTGTACATTGAGTTATTCCCACTTCCAAGGCCAGAGTCACCCAACTAGCAGATGGAATCCTAAAGCATCTAATATCTGCTGTAGCTGGATCCCGTACCTCTGAGGCATGTCAGGAACACCAAGCTGCTAATCCAACTTACAAGGGCGGTTCGGTCCCTTGATTTTCACGTCTGTTTCTCATAATTGTTTGAATACACCCACATGATGCCGTAGGAAGGATTGATGTTAGTCCCAAAATGAATGTAAATACTTCACGAAACGTATGCATTCATTCCCTTCAAGTAACAGATCCACCGTAGCAAGGCTGATTGGCCAGAAGCAGGGGCCTAGAAGTTGAAAGAAACGCTCTATCTAGTTGTCTACTACTGTTAACGATGGTATAGACACAATTCAAAGTCACTCAGAAAGTTCGAACGCAATACAGCAAGATCATTAGGACGTGTGGAATCGACACTATAATAACTATCTCAGCAGCTGATTACAGCTGAATTGCTGAATATTTGTTTTGAAATTGGGTGGACACTTTGGCGTTCTTTTAAACATCTTCTATATTGAGTAATCTTTATTGCTCGGTATGGTTCAGCCATGATACAGATATTCATATACATGGTAATGAAGAGTATAGCTAAGTGATTTATCATTGAAGTCAAAGTCAGCTTTCTCCTAATTCTAATTGTTGAAAAAACCATTCTTTTCTCGAATACCAGAATCTGTCACAATTTCCTTTGGATGTGGAGTGTGCAACAAATGGAAGTCAACTGGACTACACCATGAAGATTCATAGTTTGATATCCATCGTCACATAGCATATGGTATATGAAACCATTACAACCGCGAGATTGGTGTGTTGACTTTCTCCAAGTATTTTCTAGTCTGCTCTCTTGTTAGCGATTCCATATAACTGATTATCTCTATTTTCTCTTCTTCTAGTTAAGGCCAAGGAATGTACTCGAGCCGAGGTGACACAGACTCACTTGTTCAACGATATCATAGTCGTGGGCCCACTTGAAAAACGCAGGGCTCGTGAAATCTGCAGCAGGATCTGGTTCGATATCTTTGATGGACTCCCAGTCGGCATCAGCATATTTCTGATGCGAGGCCGCGTGATCTTTGTGCCCGAGAAACCTTTGCGTGTTCCAAGCAGCAAAGGATTTGATGCGTTCAACACGAGGCTTCCGAATATCTTCCCAGAATCTACTTATCACTGAGACACTCATGTAAGGAAGTGACAAAAGCAATATGTGCAATACCCCAATATCCTCGATAATCTGCGACAAACCCTGTCGAGAGAGAATTAGCGTATGACTCTAGTGGTGGGTTATTTCCAATAAATTCTGAAAGTCTCCACGTTAGGCTAACCTGTGCTGCATTGGGCTCCATTGCATGGGCTGAGTCACCCAATAGGATGGTTCTGCCAGTCCTACTCGTCCAGCGGGGAAGATTTGGTATTTGGGCAATCTTCCACCTGTCGCACTTAGTCGCCAATTTGAGAACTGCAGAAAGGGGAGGGCATATCCCCTCAAAACGCTGCCTCACAAATGCGATATCTCCATCCTTGGTAGTTTTCAGCGTATCACAATGGATTGATTGCATAGGACTAGACGCATACCTCGCTCCACATGCTGGCATGGTCATCATCATGTTTGAGGCCGAACAAGCCGCTCCAGAATTCCATTTTTCTGGGCTTCCGACCAATGACAAAACGTTCATCGCCTGCCCAAACACATGTTTCGAATTCCTGTAGCAATAATCTGGCGTCACTATCCGATTGCAGTTCTTTCTGTGGCACTGTTACGCCATAGTAGACTGAATCGCTGACTTGCGGGTTTACCGACCAGCCCGCGGAAACGTCAAATAAAACTTTAGTACGCAGGCGTGATTGAATCCCATCAGCAATGAGAATGAGATCGCCAGCTATCGTTTTTCCTCCTTTTAATTGTAAGCTTGGACTTACGCCGGGTTCATCTGAGAAGTCTTCCACGGAACTTCTGAAGATAATCTCGGCCCCAGCGTGCACGGCATGTTGGTAAAGAATATCCTGTAGAATCGGCCGATGAATGCCCCAATCTGGATATTTGGTGAAAGATGCCGGCAAAGTGCGTATCTTGTCCTTCCCGGTCTTCAGGTCTCGGATGAGGATCGGGAGACAGGTGTCCGCGACTTGTTCAATGGCATCTCCAAGGCCCCAAGATTGAAGAATGCGAGACGCGCCAGGACGGATCAGCAGTCCACTCCCCTTTGGCGACAATTTCTCTCGCCTCTCAAAGACCTGCATAGTTTTATCATTAGATGAAATACAACGTCAAGGGTGGTCTACTTCCCTGGACATGGTGGCCGTCCTTGGCAAAGCAGTACGCAGCCGCGAGGCCGCCAAGTCCTGCGCCCACAATGAGGATCTTCATACTTTTTGGCGTTTGGTTTCGATTCTAGTTTTTGAATAGACATTGAAGCAGGAGTAGATGGAAAGGTGGTGAATATAAGGGAGACAGCAAATGATTAGTTCCGGGATGACGTCTGCACCCGCACAACTGAGCATTGGACGCCTGACCGCGGTCAACCAACCCAGAAAACGAATGGCACGCCTAATCGCCAGCCAGAAGGGAATTTAAGTCTGCAGTAAGCCCCGTACTTCTCCTTTGTGCTTATAACAGCGCAGCATACTACATTAAAATTATTTCTGTAAAGCAAATCCTACCCGAAGCGAGTTCGCTAAAGGGAAATAAAAAGCATACAATTTAAAGTAGGAACAAACCTGAAGACTGAATTGATATAATACGATTATTTTTCGATTAAAGCACTTGTGAAGACTTGTTAGTCATTCAAAATTATCAATATTGGGCTCATTGCTGGTCTTGCATGGGGCAGTGAATAGTATACCCGTTCCCTTCAAACATGTCTTCGAAGTGAGTGCACTAGAGGTATGCAGTAGTAGGACTCAGTAGGTTGATAATTAGGGATTAGGAGTAATAACTAACATAATCTCCTCGTTATATGCAGAATCATAATTTCAATATCGATGACCTTACCACTCATCTTCCGTATCTCTCGTAGTCAATAATATACCCAGCTGCAGAATTTAGTGCTCGCACTTATAGGTAGTGCACCTGCATGTAACTGCGGATACCAGGGGACAGCGTACTGTTGTACATGTCCTTGCAGAACGAACCGTTAGCCAAAGGTTGATACAACGAGCTAGACAAGTCGGGCAAATTCCCCAACAGATATTCATTGTCCAGTGAAACAAGTAGGAGGGACAAGAGATCAAACTCAGGTTCCCGTTAGGGGTAACTTCCGGGCAATCCATACAAAGCAACTGCCGCATCGCTGCTACCAACAACCCCAACAAAGGTTGAATGTCAAAGACAGAGCCATCATTGCCATCGCAGAGCCCGCATCCCAAACAATTGGCTCATATGGGAACTGGTTTTACGGGTCTCTCGTATGACTATTGTCTGCCATGAAACCTCCAAAACTGTATTAGCTCCCAGGTGTATATAAAGGTCCCCTAGAGATGCCCGTTTCTACTCCCCAATTTTACCAGTTGAACATCGTACTACCTTCTTCTCATTACACCAGTCATCAATTATGTCCAAATCACGTGCCATTTAGTAGCCTTTTTCATGACTATCATGGCGTCCAACGGCCGTGGAGACATCGCCCTCCTGTGTCTGGTATACAGCGAAACCCTCGATGAAAATTATGAATCGCTCATTGGGGAATTGAGTAGGAGATACAACTTAGTACGGTTACCAACAGCCTCAGTTGCACGCACATATCTAGCGAATCACAGCCCGAAGAAAATCATTGTGACAGACGGGGGCATAAGCGAGCCAGAGAACCAAGACATAGCGAGAAGGTTAAAGACCTATCTCGAGGATGGTGGATTGGTAACATTCGCGCTGGACTTTGCGAGCTCTATTTCTGGGGATGAATTCAACAATCTCTTTGGTCGGAAATTTGGCACACCCTGGGAGTATGACGGCAGCTGCAAGACCATTTGTCGATTCAATGCAAACTGCATTGTCCCAGCCGGACCGGTTCCTAACTGCTCCTATAATATGGAGGCACATCTAATCAAGAACGCTTCACCTATCGAGCGAATTGTTGTTCCGCTGGGAAGTTCCATGGTAAGACCCAAGGAACAGGGTCAAGCCGCGGTAGTTGGAAGGAAGCAAGGCAAAGGATATTTAATCTATTGTGGGAACGAGAGTGTTGAGGAGGAATTGGGCAAGATGTTACTGCTTATGTGCATCTAGCAATAGCTCCTCTGCAGATTTAATCTACAGGTGGATCTGTACACTAGTAGTTTCAATGAGGAAATGGAATATCTAGGAGAACTCAGGCTCAAAAACCACTTTGTCTGTTTATTGTCTAATGCCGCGTCGGGGGTTGCCTCAGGCTCCGCGGTTGATTGCTGGGTAGGGGTGAAGACTCTACAATTTGTCATCAGTCCGATCCTAGTTATTCATTAATATTATGGGCTTGGCTTAGCATCGTTTGGTGAAATTTATTCGGATAACGTTACACCCAATTGCCGAATAGTGAATTTATTCCAGAGATTGTTATCTATGGCCAGTGTTAGCAAGGTAACTTACGATTTATATGAGCCCAGATCTATGCAGATTCAAGTTTATTATGAATACTATCAGTGAATATGACAGTAACTATTGTTCTTATGATGTCCTTAAGCTTTCCAGTGTTTCTCATCTATTACAGCACTATATCGGTCACTGCCGTTCTAATGGTCTGCCACACGTAGGAAGTCCCATCTAGATCGCCACTTGCAACAACACCTTCAGGACCTTCTGCTATATAATTCTGATCAAGTCCTCTGCTTCTCGCTATACATTGTGAAATCACCTTGCCCTCAATTCTCCATCATCTTTGTTACTGCTGGGCTCCCTCTTTTCATACAACACCACAAGGCAACATGGAGTCCAAGCGCCCAGAGATCCTTCTTCTATGTATCGCACCCACAGACTATCTTGGGGATCGTGTTGAACCCCTTCTGAAACGCCTACGAGAACGCGCCAATGTGAAGCGTGCGACAACCATTGACGAGGCATTGCGTGGCATGGAAGCCAACCCCAAAGCCGTCATCGTCGCTGATGAAGGTGTAACTATACCCGTCAACCGACTCGTCGTCGAGGAGCTAGAGGATTACATGCGCAGAGGAGGTTTGGCTATTTTTGGCCTCTGTTTCCCAGGTTTCGTGACCAAGGACCGTTTCAGGAGCCTTTTCCGAGTGAGAATAGGTTTGCCGTGGATTATAGGGGATGAAGAACGAACCAGATTTGAATTTAATCCTGAGTGCACCCTTCCAGCCGGAACAGAGGCTATCTCGTTCCCTACACTATACAGCATGGAGGCCGTTTTCATCAAAAATGCGCGCTCCAAGGAGAAGATTTACATTCCTGTCAAAGGTGCTATGACGGAGCGGACGCGGCCTGAACCTGTCGACCAGACACAAGCTGCGGTGGTAGGAGCAAAGGTGGGTGATGGATATGTGGCTTATTGCGGGGATACGAATCCGGGTAAGCAGCTGGAACAAGTCATTTTAGCCCTTTGCGGCTTTTAGGCAGGTTGGATAAACTGCCTTCTTATCATATGGTTTGATCTTTCAGGCGAATGAATCCTGTTAACTACAGGCTTCACAGATAATACAATACCACACAAAGGATGAAATCAGTTGGTGCGGTGCACTCATACTGACCTAACTACGACAAAATAAAGGGTAGATTATTTCCCCTGAAGGGAGTTACTAACATACGAGTTGAATATGTAAACGTGCGTGTGTGATTGGGTTTTGACGTTAGGGTTTTTATAGACTACTGCACGAGGTGCAAGGTAGACTTCTATTGTCTTCTAAACTCATACAGGACTGAGCCTACGTAAAGTGTAGTTATATACTTCAAGTGTGTTTCATTCACAGCGCAGATTCCTTTCATTCACAGCTCATATCCCTTTCATTGTCAGTTTAGTTTTATTTCTATATTCACTTCTCTTCTCTTCCTCCTCTACCATCACTACTTCTTCTCTTACTATTTAACCTCACTATCATCCTCCTTTCTTCTTTACTACTCTTCTAAACCTTCTGCGCTCGGAATTCATTTCTTCAGATCTCCACATCTTCTAACCTAATTAATTTCTTTATAATCCTGGTCCTATTCCAACCATATCTAGTGCTTATACAACTGTCTTATTATTTTAAAGGCTATCATCAAAGCAGGATATTATAAGCTAAGCGGGTGGGATTCTGAATATTCTATATGTTGACCAGGGAAATAACCTCTTGGACCGCGTTAGGAAATAATAATAGACAGTATATCAGGTGATGAACTCTGGGAGTGTAAGAGACCTTAGAATTGAGTATTTATAGAATCTTCCTTATTGACTACTATATAGACCTGAGTGATAATGAGTCAACTGAATCCACAAGGCTCCAGTTTAACAGAGGTTGATTGGGCTTACAGAAGGCTCTTTTACAAACGGACAAGACCAAGTAGTTCTGGTGGTTGCAATCAGATCTACTAAAGCCCTTCTAGGTAAAGCTGTGGGATTCTTACCTCAGGACCAGTAGGAAGAAGGGGGCTCGGAGGGTTAGACTGGCAGCCATACAAAAACTCTAATCCAGGAAGAAAAAGACAGCAAAAAAATAATAATCCAGCCTGGCACCCCCTAACAAAGCATGTTGGGAAGCTATTAATCACCTAGCCCAGTTTATATACTGGATAAGAAGAGAGAATCTCAAGTCATGCGAGAGTGTTTTCTATGGAAGAAACATTTATCCTGATAATATTAACTAGATTATCTGGATACTCCAAAACTATCTCCAAGAACTCTACTCTCAAAGCCAAATGAAGAAAAAGACTGGTGGGACAGCCATTATTGGCACCAAGCACCACAATGGTGAGCCGAACCCTAGGAAACGTGGAATTTAGCTAGTCCAGAGCTTGCTTAATAGATGTAGAGGTGAGCAATACAAAGTGCAACACCGGCAACGATGACAAGGCCATACTTGGCGACGTTACCGACCCCGACACTGTCCTCGATGGCATATGCGCAATGCTCGAAGGCTGGCCTACGACCCGGACACGAAGGCAAATAAAAGGGCCAAAGCAAATAAAAGGCGCACTACAAATAAGTAACGAGATGAGGCACAGGGAACTCAGCACGGGTGCTAAAAAAAGAGCGGTTTCAGGCGATGGCTAATGTGTCGCTCCAGAGATTTCGTGACCCGAATGGAAGCCAATCAATCAAGATGCCAAGGATTATCTTCCCATTCTCAGATAGCACGATAGCATAGAGCTTCGACACATTGATTGACAGGCCGAGTTCTGAAACACGGCTGAGCGCTGATACTTCATTGATGAAAGCACTGGTATTGTTGGCAGGTTTAAAAAGTAGGCCGCGTTCCGCTACCTGGACATGTCGCGGTATGTCACAGGTATGGTCGAATTCGCTATCTGGGTCCTGGTAAATGAGCACATCGGCTGCGCTGACCTTGGGGACACCAGGAGGAAGGCCTGAAATTGACGCGCTTATCGTGGGAAGAGTAGATTTGGAAAAGCATCTATAAACAGTGGGAACCGCTGTGATTAGTTTATCAATTGGCAGCAACTGCAGTGCGTGAGCTCGAGGAAAGGTAAAACTTTGTAGGCTAATAGGTCATTGTATTTCTGGAGCATTGCGTCGAATGTATTGTGCGCATGGTACGACTAACCAGTCCCAGAATTCTTCGAAATTTTCGCTATCGTTGGAGGCTTCTTCGAAATCTGTGGCTTTTTCACTTCTGTTAACTTTCTTCAGCCACTCATTAACCTGTGATTCTAGAGAGGTGCCGAAGAATTCAGAGGCTCGCAGGGTGATTTCGAACAAAACAGCTCTTGATATAATGACAATAAAAGCACCATCAGCACAGATTTTGTTCTCAATCATGCGATGGTTAGGAACGCTGGTAGCCATTTTGGTGAAGCAATAATTTTTCGAGAAAAACTAAATGTCACGGCTAACAGAGAGATATTTCTCAGATCGGTATTTACTATTTAACAAGACGCGTTTGAGGAGAATTTTAGCGGGAATAATAACGACGTGCCAAGTGGCCAGGAACGGTAGGAGTGTGAAGTGGGAATATTTGGAAGATGATGTGAATAAACATGACTAGCGGCAAATGCCGTTGCAAGGCATTAACATCCCGCATTTACTTAGCGGGCTCGATCGGGTATAAGAATATGAATTGAATTGAATTGAATTAATATCCCGCGTGGTTCAATCAATATATGTTAAAGGTTCCAACAGTTCGTATGCACTTCCACCAAGGACAAAGTTGCATATGCATGCTCATTGAGACTGATCCTTATCTTCTAAAATCATCCCTCGAACATGTAAATTGCGGTAAAAGTGGGTTAAGCTTGAAGCCATTATATACATTATACCTGTAGTAATGAATTTGATGGGTTACTATATCTCAACTGGTCATGTATAGATAATATATAATCTTTCTTCTTCATTTCTTTCCTTTAACCAAAATTTGACCCCAACACATAAGATATTAATTACTCGAAACTATTTAACCACCTGACCAAATCCGAATCCTCATCCATCCAGGCATTAAAATCCCATGATATCCAATCTCGTGCCACAAATCCGGGCCCAGTCCCTTCCCCTAGCCCATCTCGCCTGTTGTTTCCACTACCATTTTCACCCTCCACCACCTCCCCCGCCTCCACAACTGGCACTCTTCCCCCCAAAACCCGATCAAGGATATGCCTAATCACGGACTTCGCCTGCTGGCAAACATCATAGTTCCCCGCCTGCCTGGACACCACATACTCAAGATCCGCAGCAAAGCGGCTCAGGTTTTGGATGATTTCCGAGCGAGAAAACTCCCCTGCTGACTGGAAACTAGAATTGGGGTTCTGAGATTGATGCAGCAGTTCAACAGCCAGGACACCGGCCGGGGGTAGGCCGAGTGAGGAGATCTAAGTTCTTCGATTAATGAGGGAGAAGAGGAAGAGGAAGGGGAACATACAATCCAAACAACAGAATTTCCATCTCCCCCACCGACAGCGCGATTGGCAACCAACAACAACAAATTGTCCAGCAGCTCGTGCGCGACAGCAATCAACTTCTCTGTGCTAGCGCCCGTTCGCTGGACTAAGATCCGCTGGAGAATGAACTCATTATAAAGTAAGTCCATGTGCACGAAGAGGCAAACTTTGGCTGTTTCGGGGTAACGGTCGAAGTCCGATGGCGTGCTGACACGGTACAACGATGAGGGGAGCGAAAGACGTGCTTTTGCGGCGAGGGCGGATATCTCTCTATTGGTTTCTCCACCATTCTTTCTTATTAGTCCTCTGCAACTCTTCACTGAAAGAAGAGAAAGGGAAAGGTACTTTGGGGCAAAGGGGCGGAGGTGGCATCTCACGTAATTTTTCCCTCCAATTTTGACCCCTCTCCTTCCACGATGTTCGAATCCAGAGAAATCTCTAGTACTGCCTCCCTTACAACCCCCATCATGAAGCATGCTCTCGTGTATGATCCCCGTGTATACGCCCCCTCTGCATTCCATCCATTATTATCTAGGCGTATCATCGCGGCGTCGAGAACTTCTGGTGAGGCTATGATATCTGCGAAGGCTATGTCCAGTGGCGGGTCGATGGTGATATACCGACGGATCATGCGGGGTGGACGACCTAAGAATGTGGAGAGCCCTTTGTCCATGGCATAGGTGGCGACGACGAGGCGTTTGCGGTGTTCTGCGCGGAAGAAAGGGAGTTTCGATGTGGCATCGCGGCGGTGGTAGCCCAGGGTGAAGAGAAGGGTTATGAGTGCAGAGAGGGTTTTGTAGGGACGGTAGTCTGTTTCTTTGTTAGCATTGGTCGGGGGCGGAGTAGGGAGAGAGGGTAATTGTTTAGTGGATACTAGGTGATAGGTGTGAAGAGTGGGGAAAGTGAATAGGGAACGGAAGGGAAAGGGTACCGTAATCCCCATAGAGCAGGGTAAGAAGCGAAGCATGTTCTAGCGTCGCCCAACACAACTGTTCAGAAATGACACCGGTGTAGTCGAAAAAACGAAGACAGATTTCACTCGCGGACACACAGACAGCTGCAAGACCCTTTCTGTCAAGTGGGGGACGGTTCGGTGGGTAAGACTCAGCCAGATCGTGTTGCGGGAGGAGACACACGCTGGAACCAATCACCGCAAAGACTAGCCCTATAATCTCCCAGCGGTTCGGCATAGTGGAAAAATATTCCGTGGGGGTGATGGCAGGGTCTACGATTAATGATTTGGAGGAGGCAGTAAAAATGCTTCGGGAGAGGATAAGTAGAGAAGGGAGCGGATTAGCGGGATCGGAAATGGCCTCGTGCAGCATAGTTTGGATGGAAGACAGGATCAGACGCAGGGCAGATGGGGGAAACAGATCGCCTTGGCAGTGGTCGAACCGTGCCGTGGCCATGTGTTCGTATAAAGCAAAATCATCGAGCAGGATGAGGAGCAGCTCGGCGCCAAGCTGAATCTGGCTGTCGTCGATGATGGCGCTGGTGTTTTGCTGCAGGGATTTGGCAAAGAGGGCTATACTGGACGAGCCATCGTCAACGTCGTCGCGGAGCACGGACAGGTAGCTGGTGGGCCCGAAGACGCCAGTGCTGGGGGTCGAGGTGCTGCGGTGACTACAATCGGCGAGGTAGCCGTCACGGAGATGGCCCGGAGGCAAGGACGGAGTGACTAGCGAGGGAGGAGGCAGCGGGCTCATCCAGGCACTGCTGATACTGGTACTAGTAGTAATGTTGCTGCCACTTCCGCACGAGATGGAATCAGTGGAGCTGCGATCCGTCCTGTTCGGATGCTTGGACATCGGGGCCGATTGGTACACGCACAGAGCCGGCTTGCGTCTGCGCCGGCATCGGCCGCAAGGGACGGCGTGGTCGCATCGGATCTTAGATTTGCGGCATGGCTCGCAGGAACTGGGAACCCCGTTAGAGCGCAGTAGCGACATGGTGTGCGTGTGTGGGATGGAAAGGTCGGGGTGAGGAGGGGAGGGGAGACTTTTGGTGACGGACTCGCGGACTTGCGGACTCGGGGTCGGGGTCGGGGTGGAGATGACCAGATGCAGGTGAGATGCCCATGCATGAGACTAATTCAAATCAGAATAAGAGCTGACTAGTAGGAGGTAGCTCCTAGTTCTGACCAATTGCCATCTATCTGGTTATCTGTTAGGCCAGTAATACATTCCTGTTGTCCCAAGCTAAACCCAATCAGCAGTGCATCCACATCAATCCAACCCTACCCTGATTTTTCCTGTCCGCGTCAGGGACTGGAGTAGGACGCAAACAACTCCCTCAACTAAAGAATATGTGTATCCTGATGGTAATAAGAGTTTGTATAAATTACTCCTCATACCGCTGCCTGCCCAGCTCCTCCTTCTCCATACTCACCTCCTTGGTAAAACATGACGCCACTAATCCCACCCCCGCAAAGACAATCAACACTATCCAAATAACGTGGAATGAATGACTATACACGCCTGTCACCTGGTCCAAGACCTCCTTCTCCACCTGTCCCCTCAGGTCCCTCAACTGAGGAATAAACCCCACCGCGGCCTGACTATTCTCCAGCGCAGCCAGGCTATTAGGCAGCGCTCCCAGCGCCTTAATCGACTTTGCAAAAACGCTGCTAAACACTGTCGACCCGATCGCAAGACCGATCAACCCGCCCAGTAATCGGAAAAATACCAATAAGCCGGCGGCAAACCCCGTGTCGTCGACGCTGGCAACGCTGGCTTGCACCGGGAGAACGAGAACGGTAAAGAGAACGCCGATTCCCAGGGAGACCACGATGAGGAGGCCCGTACGGAAGGGCACGGATGAGGCGGGGGTAATGATGTGAAGGAGTCCAGTCCCGACCGTGAGGAACACCCAGCCTGTCCAGATGTTCACGCGGTATTTGCGGAGGTAACTGACGGAGATTGGCGAGACGCAGCTGAAGAACAGGGACATGACATTCATGGGGAGCAGAGTAACGGAGGCGTGCAGGGGAGTTTCGTAGAAGGCGGCTTGGTAGAATAGTGGGAGGTAGGTGTTGAGGGTATAGGTGACCAGGCCGTGGAGGAAGCCACCGAGAAAGGTGGTGATGGCGGTGGCGGATTTGAAGAGCCGGTAAGGCAGGACGGGCTGCGCGGGAACACGCTCGTAGACGACGAAGAGGGCCAGGACGACCAAGCCGAGGATCAGCGGGAGGAGAGTCCGCCAGGAGCTCCAGGAGTAGAGAGCCCCGGCCCAGCTGAGCGGGAGGACGAAGGCGGCGCATCCAGCAACGAACAGGGCCATGCCGAGCAGGTCCAGGAGACCAAGTTTCTGCAGGAATGTGCCCTCGACGGGGCGCAGGCGCAGGAAGAAGAAGGTAAGAATGAAGCTCGTGCCGATGAGAGGCAGGTTGATCCAGCCGATCCAGCGCCAGGTAACGTACTGAGTGAAGAGCGAGCCGATAATGGGACCGAGCAGGGCGCCGCCAGCCATGGGGATAGCCAGGAGACCGAGATACTTGGGGCGCTCTTTCATAGTGGTCATGTCAGCGGTGATAACCTCGTTTAGCACGTCAAGGCCGCTGCCCCCGAGCCCTTGAATAGTGCGGCCGACAATAACAGTGGCCATGTTCGGGGCCAGGGCGAAGACGAGCGAGCCGACGATGAAAAGAAAGTATGCGGTGTACAGCGGGATCTTGCGCCCGAGTACGTCTGAGCCGCTCAAGTAGAGGGGCTGCACGACGGACACGGCCAACATAAAGCAGGTGCTGGCCCAGAAGGACTGTAAGGTTGTGCCTCCGAGATCGCGGGCGATGATGGGGATGGCCACCGCCAGGGTTGTCGTGTCCAGCGACACGATGAACACCATGAACAGCAGGCCCAGGAAGGCCAGATGGAAAGAGAGCGGCTTCTTGGATTTTGTCTCCGGGGAAGACTGTTCCGCTGATCCTTTCTCTTCGGAGGACACATCCATGGCAGATTGTCCTTCCGACGCCGTCTTCTCGTCCACAGGATTATCCATAGTCGTTGTTCAGAAAAGCACCGTAAACGCCCCAAAGATGACAACCGCCAGTCGGACATACTGTGACTCAAATACCCGTGTCAGGAGAGTTGCCTGCAGGATCCATCGGAGTCGGCCTCGGAGTGGATCCTTTGTAAGGACCTCAGCACCGGCCGATTTATAACGAGGGGGTCGTGCCACTGCTGACCCCACCCCAAGCCGGGACAAGAATTCTTAGCCAGATAAGCAATTGGGCAAGGCTTGTTTTTTTCCCTTTCTCTCACTCTCGGAATACAGCGTACAGGCTATAAAAATGGAGTTTGGAGGTAATGTCAGGAGCGCCAGATCAAGGCTTCAATACTTTCTTTCTACATGATAGTTCTCGGACTATTTGCACCCATCTACTCGCTCCCATTCATATTAGCCTGAGCAATCAACGCATACACATGCCGCGCCGCAGCTGGCACCCTCGTTCGATCCCCGCTGCTCTCAATCTCCAGCATCTCTTGGGCCCATTCCGCAATTGCAGCAACCAGGGCCTTCACTTCTGCGTCCGTGTTCGACGCATGGAAGATGATCCGCACGCGTTCCGTCCCCTTGGGCACCACCGGATACGAGATGGGGAAGACCGAGAAACCGGCCCGTTGCAGGTGGAACGCAAGGTAGAAGTTGTGCTTGGTGCGCGTCCGCAGCTGGATGATCTGGGTGAGGACTGGCTGGACATCCGCGTCTTCGTATGTGGGAAGGCGGAGAAGCCCGGTGTCGCTGGCCTTACTCCAAATCGGGTCGGAGGTCATGGTCTCCAAGAAGAATTTCACAATCTCCTGAACACGGTTCTGGGCCTGCTGCTGTGTCAGCTCCAGCTTTCGGTAGAAGAAGGGGCAGACCATACCCCTTGTGTCTCGCCACTGCGCAAGAGTTGGTACGTAGCGCGAATGGAGGCCAGCATGGGGAAGGACGGCGCCACGGAGAACATGATGCTTCTGGCGTAGTTGATCAGCATCGTGCGCACGGTCTCATTGCACAGGATCACGGCTATCGAGTTAAGTCAGTATTTCCTTCAGCAACACAATTCAACCGTGTCTTACCTCCAGTCGCAGCCAGCGCCTTCCCAAACGTATGCAGTCGGATCGCCACTTCGCTTTCCAGCCCCAGAGCGCTTACCAGCCCAGCACCGTTGGGCCCAATCACCCCGGTGCTGTGCGCTTCATCAATCACAAATTGAACATTTCCCTCCGGAAAGACCTCCTTGGCTGTTTCAATTAGCTCCTGGAGCGGGCAGATATCCCCGTCCATGCTATAGACCGACTCAACTGCCACCAGGACCGATCGCGTGCCGTTGCGAATTTGGGGCTGCGACTCCTGGACGGCCACCAGTGCATCATACAGCGATTCGGAGTCATTGTGGCGGAAGGCCTTGCGGTACAAGGCCAAGCTGTCCTTCATGCCATCATGCACACTGGCGTGGATGAGCTCATCGTACACAATGGCATCGCCGGGGCGTGGAATGACAGAGAAAATAGCGGCGTTGCCCAGGCTTCCCGTATTGACAATCAACCCAGCCTCGGCACCGTGAAATTCGGCCAGCTCACGCTCGACGTCTTCCAGGTATTTGGAGTTTCCGTCGGTCAGACGCGATCCGTGACTGCTCAGCTTGAAATCGGGATGCTTGGCGAGCTCGTCCAGGTAACCTTTGCGGACGGAGCCCGAGGTGCTCAGCCCGAGAATATCGGTAGAGGAAAAGTCCACCATGGATGTTTGTTCCTTGGTGTGCAGCATGATGCAGCCATGCTGGGCTCGACGCACATCGAGCTCTTCTTCCAGGTTCCGGTAAAAGACGGGGGCATTTTTCATGCTGGGAGCCTTGGGCTGTTGAGCTCTCGCCCATTCAACAATAAACGAATCAGACATAGTATGAGTGCGTCGAAGGTATTAGTGCAGAAACACAATGTAGACTGGGAGAGGAAAGCACATGCACAAGGCTGCTGGGGGCTGGCTGAGTAGGCTATATCAACACCTGTGCTATCTGGGCTGCAGTTGTCGTGTCAGCCTGGAATCCCCGATAAGAAATTTCCCAAAATCAGACCGTCGCATTGCGCCATCTCTCGTATAAGATGCGCTATACAGCTAGTAGTTGTCGGTTTATCCTATCACGAGGGGTTCCAATGCAGTCAGACTGCGCTGGAGTTACAATGTAGGTGCAGGAAGCGGGGGGCAAATGGGCAGTAGCATCTGAATTACTATGTTTGGACCGGGGAGCGCTTCGGAAGACAAGGACTAGGTGTCCGGTTAAGAAGCTTGATTGATTGATCGATTAATTTCCTCACACATGCTGATGTCAGCCCTAGCAGCCGAGTAGCGGGTGGTATCAATCTAGCAGCCAGCCTGCTGCCGGTGTGGCAGGCAGATACTTGCATCCAGGGCCATGCGATACATGATATACGAAAGTCCATACAACACAAAATACTTGCATCCTCCAAACCTCACTTAACGTACCTCTCAGAATGGCACGGAATTTGATCCATGTGGGCTCGCCTGAGGTCCTGTTCGCGGGGTGCCGTCACCACCGAGAGGAGACGAGTCCCGTGCGGCTATACTGATCGGTCTTACATAGTGTTAGGAGAGGGGTAACAGTCTAGATCATATTCGACACTAAAATATCACGGCACATGCAGTACTAGTGGTGAAACATGATAAACTCCGTTTCCTGGTGCACCATGCACCACTGCGGCTGGACATGTACAAAATACTACAGGTGTTTACATTTTCATTGGTCCCTTCTTCCTTTGTACTGTAAGAACGTCTTTGGATTACAAAAAGGATTGAAAACGTACGACTGCTTTCAATCAAAATCCGCTATCAACGAGAATTGGGGGCCAATTCGATTAGGCTAAGAGTCATGCACGAGAGTAGATAGGCAATGAGGACAAGCCTGACGTCTTTCGATCATGACATCTATCTCACAACCAGAGAAAGTCGGTAAGGGAAGAGGCAATCTGCACGGACATATAAAGTCCCGTCTCTCGCAACGCAGACTTCATAGTGTCAGGGCTAGAAACTCAACATCTTAGCAGTGAGCCTTTGTATCTTTATATTTCAAAATGCCATCCAGAGAAAATGGTCTTTCTGGCTCTGCTCCTCACCCCGGGGGCCAGGCTAATGATGCTAGTACGACATTCTCCCCCATCGCGATATGTGGAATGGCCCTTCGACTCCCTGGTGGACTGGGGAGTCCGCAAGACCTCTGGGACTTCTTGATAGCCAAAGGCGATGCGCGGTCCCGGGTCCCTGAGTCACGATACAATGTATCGGCCTTCCACTCCCCATCCAAGCGACCAGGCACGGTGGTGACTGAGTACGGCTATTTTCTCGACGAGAGCATCAAGCTCGGTGCGCTGGATGCGTCCCGCTTCTCACTCAGTCGGGCTGAACTGGAGGCCGCCGATCCACAGCAGCGCCAGATGCTAGAAGTAGTAAGAGAGTGTTTCGACGACGCGGGGGAAGTCAACTTCCGTGCCCAGCCCATTGGCTGCTACATGGGGTGTTACGGGGAGGACTGGCTGGAATTGCAAAACAAAGACCCCCAGCAAAATGGCATGAACCGGGTGGATGGATATAGTGACTTCATGCTGTCGAATCGGGTCTCATATGAAATGGACCTGCGCGGGCCCAGGTATGTCGTGCCTTATTCCCCTACTCCTTTCACTTCCCCATAGAGGATAGGGTTACTGACTTGGCACAGTATAACCATCCGCACCGCGTGCTCGTCTGCGCTAGTAGGGCTAAATGAAGCGTGTCTAGCCCTCCAACGAGGTGACTGCGACGCCGCTGTCGTTGGGGGTTCGAGCTTGATCTTTGCGCCAGCCGCGACGGCGTTCATGACCGAGAAGGGAGTTCTGTCGCCCGACGGGTCCTGCAAGACCTTCTCGGCGGATGCAAACGGCTACGCGAGAGGCGAGGCCATCACCGCCGTATTCGTCAAGCCTCTGGCCGCAGCCCTTCGCGACGGGAATCCCATCCGGGCGGTGATCCGGTCCGTCATGTCCAACAGCGACGGGAAAACACCGGGCATCGCCCACCCCAGCACCGACAGCCAGGAGGCTCTGATCCGGAAAGCATACCGGGCTGCTGGAATTACGAACATGGCCGAGACAGCCTTCGTCGAGTGCCATGGCACGGGCACCCCAACAGGCGACCCGGTCGAAACGCTGGCCGTTGCGCGGGTCTTTGGGGATGCAGGCGTGTATATTGGATCAGTCAAGCCAAACCTAGGCCATTCCGAGGGCGCGTCCGGGCTGACATCCCTGATCAAGGGTGTCCTCGCTCTGGAGAATCGCATCATTCCCCCCAATATCAAATTCACTGCCCCCAACCCGAAGATCCCATTCGAGGCCTGCAAATTGACGGTGCCCCTTGATCCAACGCCGTGGCCGGAATCGCGATGGGAGCGAGTCAGCATCAACTCGTTTGGCGTGGGAGGATCCAACGCGCATCTCATCCTCGACTCTGCTCGCAGCTTTCAGATCCCCAGCCCGACGCCGGATGATTTCCTTGCCGGCCCCCAGCTGCTGCTTCTCTCCGCCAGCGTGGCTGGATCGCTGCAGCGGATGACCGAGACCTTCGAGAACTGGGTCCCGCAACACCAGGACCAGCTGTGCAATCTGGCCTACACCCTAGCTACCCGCCGAGAGCATCTCCCGCATCGATCCTTTCTGATTGGCGGTCCGGACCGAATCGTCACCCCATCGCCCGGCCGGAAGGTGCCCACCTCCGCGCCCAGCCTCGCCATGGTCTTCACCGGTCAAGGCGCACAATGGGCACGCATGGGACGGGACCTCCTCCTGCGCTCCGACTTCTCGTTCCAGAACACCATCCGGGCGCTGGACAAATACCTGAAAGCAGCCCCGAACGGTCCCAAGTGGCGATTGGAGGAAGAGCTCCTCAAGCCGGCCCTGACGTCCAGAGTCCAGACTGCCGAGCTCTCGCAGCCCCTTTGCACAGCCGTTCAAATCGGCTTGGTGGATCTCTTCGCCGCAGTCGGAGTCACCCCAGCGGCAGTGGTCGGCCACAGTAGCGGAGAGATTGGAGCTGCCTATGCCGCGGGAGCCTTGACGGCGCGGGAGGCCATCATCGCAGCCTGGCAGCGAGGCCTGGCCGCTGCAGGGCAAGCCCGCCCTGGCGCCATGGCGGCCATCGGGCTCGGGTGGGAGGAGGTCCAGAGCTTTCTCTCACCTCCCGCTGTTGTGGTCGCTTGTGAAAATTCCCCCAAGAGCGTCACTCTCTCCGGAGACGCCCAGGAAGTGCAAGCCGCGGTTGCACGGATCAAAAAGGAGCATCCCACAGTCACGGCTCGGCTTCTCAAAGTTGATAAGGCCTATCATTCCTACCACATGCGCGAGGTCGGAACCAAATACTCAACCACCATCGGCCGCGACCTGGTAGGAAGGAGACCCGGAAAGCCGTTCTTCTCCAGCGTCACTGGCAAGCAGGAACAGGATCTGCCCCTGGACGCGGCCTACTGGCAACGCAACCTGGAATCCCCCGTGCTTTTCCGGGCCGCGGTCTCCGAGCTCTTGGATCATGTCGACAATGTCGCCTTTCTGGAGATCGGACCACATGCCGCGCTCGCAGGGCCCGTGAGACAGATCCTGACTGCTCGGGCATCTTCAAACTCGGTTCCGTACCTCGCGGCGATGAGCCGCGGTGAAGATTGCGTGGAGTCGTTCCTGACAGCGCTCGGAAAGCTCTTCCAGCTGAACTTTCCGATCAGCCTGAATGCCCTCTATCCCTCGGGATCTTGCTTGCCCGGACTGCCTCGGTACCCCTGGGACCATGGAGTGGACTACTGGCGCGAGTCCCGCATCTCCCGTGATTGGAGATTCCGCCAGTTTGCCAGCCATCCGCTTCTCGGCGATCGTCAGTTGCTCGGCACTGATCTGGAGCCGAGCTGGAGAAACATGATGCGGGTTGAGGACTCTGGCTGGCTGCGAGATCACAAAGTTGAGGTGGATATCATTCTGCCGTGTGCGGGCTATCTGTCAATGGTCGGAGAGGCGATCCGACAGATCAGCGGATCACATGGGAGCTACACCTTGCGAGGCGTGGTGATCAGTTCGGCCCTAGTGCTGCGCGAGGGAACACCCACCGAGGTGGTGACGACCTTCCATCCCCATCGGTTGACTGATTCGCTAGATAGCCAATGGTGGGAATTCACCATCGCCTCGTACAACGGCCAGACGTGGACCAAGCACTGCACTGGCCAGGCCTCGGGGATGGCGGCGGAGGAAGAGCAGACGCGGACGGCCGCTCTCAGGGATGCCCTGCCGCGGAAGTTACAATCCAAGAAGTACTACGACCTCATGGACCGCGCAGGCTTGAACTTCGGACCGATGTTCAAGCGCCTGATCAATATTGAAACGGGCACGGGGGAGAGATTGGCGAGAGCAAAGGTGACCACGAACCAAGCGGGAGACGAAACGTACTATCACCTCCATCCCACTATCATCGACGCCTGCATTCAGGCGGCTCCTCTTGCTGGCCTCCTGGGCACTGTAGACGCCAAGGCATACCGGCGAGTGCCCACCAAGATCGACCGTGTGATAGTCCGGCAAGCCCCCACCAGGGTAGATGACCTGGAGGTGTCGGCCTCAGCCACGTGTGTCAAAGGCACCGGGGAAGTTATTGGGCAGGTCCAGCAATGCATCGCTGATGGTACCATTGTCATGCACATGGGAGGCTTGAAGCTTTCGCCTCTCGAAGAGGCCGGCGAGGCAGGAAAGACCGACGGCCTTGAAACCACCGCCCGCCTGACATGGGGACCGCATATCGACTTCTTGGACGCCACCACGCTGATCAAGCCGTCCTTTCCTAGGCATCTGTACACGCCGGCTTTGGACGAGCTGGCTCGGTTAGGTATGATCTACGGCAGTCGGCGCATCAAAGATGCTAGCACGCCGGTGGCGCATATGCCCCTGTATCGCGACTGGATGAACCGCCAGGTGGAAGCAATGCGGCTTGAAGAAAAATGGTCCACCTTCCTTGCCCTTGAGGATGAGGCCCTTGTGGAGAGGATCGAACGACTGGTGCAACACCTGTCCGAGACGCCCGTCGTCGACTGCGCCATCGGCCTCCAGAAAGTAGCCACCAACATCGCGGCGCTCTTCACCGGCGAAACAGAGGCCCTCGATATCCTTCTCGCGGATGACACCTTATATAAGCTCTATGTTGTCACCGACGCGTGTGACCGGTCCCAATTCATCCAACACCTAGCCCATACTAAACCCAACCTGCGAATCCTGGAGATCGGAGCCGGCACCGGCGCGACGACGGCGAGCATCCTGAAGCTGCTACGCCTGCCCAGCTCGACTGGCTCCAGCTCCACACCCTCCCTTTTCTCCAAGTACACGTACACGGATATCTCCTCGGGCTTCTTTGTGACGGCCAAGGAGCGGTTCAGTGGGGAGAGCAACATTGAGTATCGCACCCTGGACATCAGCAAAGACCCGTCCGAGCAGGGATTCGACGGGGAGAAGTACGATCTGATCCTCGCGACCAACGTTCTGCATGCAACGAACTACCTCGGTGAAACCCTCCGAAATGTTCACAAGCTCCTCGACCCGAACGGGCGACTGCTCCTTCACGAGCTGAACTCCCCCTCAAAGTGGCCCAACTTCATCTTCGGCACACTGGCGGGCTGGTGGTACGGTGGGCCGGATGGAAGACCGGACGAGCCTTGCGTATCCCCGGCTCGTTGGGAGTTGGAGCTGAAAGGCGCCGGTTTCGCCGGCTTGGATGCGGTGGTGCTTGACGGCGAGCAGCCGCATCAGCTGAACGCCATCATGGTGGCCAAGCCACAGGTCGATGATGGTACAGACCAGAAGAGAACTGTCAGTCTGCTCTGTGACCCCAGTGATGACAGTTATGCGGACTCCTTGTCGCGCCGGCTTAACAACCGAGGCTACGAGGTGCAGACATTCCGGCTCGGGGACGAACTGCCCCAGTCCCAGGACATCATCTCCCTCCTCGACTGCACTCGCCCATTCTTCGAAGACATCGATGCGGCTCGTTTCGCAGCCTTCCAGCACCTTCTGAATACCGTTGGGGAATCGGGTCTGCTGTGGATCACGCATCTCTCTCAAGTCCAATGCCCCGACCCCCGGTTTGCCCAGGTCATCGGCGCCGCACGCTCCATTCGCTCAGAGATGCTGGTTGACTTTGCGACGTGTGAAGTAGATGACATTCTTTCATCTCTGGACAAGATTATCGAAATCTATGCCAAATTTCATACCCGATCGAAGGACGAATTGTTGAATCCGGATTATGAGTATACCATCGTGGGTGGGACCGTCTCTGTGGGACGGATCTTCCCCTTCTCGCTCAAGGATGACCTCGCTGTTGTGACCGAGCCAGACGACTGGGTCACTCTCGACATGGAGAAGCCCAGCCGCCTTAGCTCCCTGCACTGGAAGGCTTCGAAAGGAAGACCCCTGGCTGGGGACGAAGTCGAGGTGGAGATCTACGCAGCCGGCCTGAACTTCAAGGTAAGAACGTGACCCTCTCCACCATGCATGCCTGATGGGTTACTTACTTACTAACCTCCTCCGTCAGGATGTCTTGGGCGCATTGGCTGTGGTTCCGTTTCCCGACAATGGCCTGGGTGTCGAAGCCAGCGGAATCGTTCGCCATGTGGGCCCCGACGTCAAGCGGCTGTGTCCCGGAGACCGGGTCATGCTGCGCGAAGATGGCACTTTCGCGACCCATGCCATTGCCTCCGAGAAGCTCTGTGCGAAGATCCCCTCGGACCTTTCCTTTGAAGACGCAGCAACCATGCCGGTCGTGTTTGCTACCGCCCTCTACTCGATGTTCGATCTGGGCGGATTGCAGGAAGGACAGGTAAGTCCGCCCCATCCGTGTCAGGCCAGGGGACCGCAATGCTGACTTCCAGTTAAGTCAATCCTGATCCACAGTGCATGCGGTGGCGTGGGAATCGCCGCCATCCAGCTGGCCCGCATGGCAGGTGCCACCATTTATGCCACGGTAGGGAGTGAGGAGAAGGTACAATACCTGATAGAAACATATGGATTGCCGAGAAATCGCATCTTCAACTCCCATGACTCAAGCTTTGTGGAAGGCGTGATGCGCGAAACCCAAGGCCAAGGAGTCGACCTGGCTCTGAACTCCCTCTCCGGCGAGCTGTTGCACGCGACCTGGCTATGCCTTGCTGAGTTCGGGAAGATGGTGGACATCGGCAAGCGTGACATGCTTGGGGCTGCTCGGCTCGACATGGGCCGCTTCCTGGGCAGCCGCACGTATTCCTGCTTTTACTTGGACCTGCTGCGAGACAAGCGGCCATCGGAGTGCAAACGGTACGTTAAGACCCCAACATAGCAATGAACCAGGTGACGCTGACTAGACCGGCTTTCATGAAAACAGACTTCTCGAACTGATCATGACGTACTTCCGAGCCGGTCATATCACACCAATCAGGCCCATTACGACATTCGATGCCTCAGCTATAGAGGATGCGTTCCGACACATGCAACAAGGAACCCATCTCGGCAAATTGGTCATCCTCTTGCGAAACGCGGATGGCAGCCCCAAGATCGACCCGACATTAGTGAAAGCTTCCACGAGCCTCGACTTGGACAGCACCGCATCCTACCTCATGATCGGTGGCCTCGGTGGTCTCGGACGCGCCGTTTCGCGGCGTCTCGTGGAGCACAAGGCCCGCCGTCTAGTTTTTCTTTCCCGGAGCGCGGGCCAGGGTCCGAACGATAACGACTTCGTCCGAGAGCTTGAGAGCATGGGATGCGACGTTCGCCTCGTCCAGGGCAGTGTCACCAACGAAGCTGATGTCAAACGAGCCATCCAGCAAGCACCCAACCTGAAAGGCGTACTCCAACTGTCCATGGTCCTCCGAGACCAAGCGTTCCCCCATATGACGCTGGCCGAATGGAACACCGCGGTTGCCCCCAAGATTCAAGGAACATGGCACCTCCACAATGCCACCCAGGCCGCTGGGATCACCCTCGACTTCTTCGTGCTCTTCTCGTCCACGTCCGGTGTGCTGGGTCTGCCCGGCCAGGCCAACTACGCCGGGGCAAATACTTTCCTGGACGCCTTCGTCCAGTACCGGACCAGACTGGGGCTGGCCGCCTCCGCGGTCGATATCGGCGCGGTCCAGGACATCGGCTACGTGGCGGAGGACGACGCCCTGCTCCAGCGCCTGAAGCAGACGGGTGCGCACCATCTTACCGAGTCCGAGCTTCTTGAGGCCGTACTGGCCACGATGTCTTCCTCCGTGAACCCCAACGCGGCCAATAATGTCAACAACGGCCTAGTATTCGTAGACAAGAATAATTTTATCCTTGGTCTCCGCACATCCGTCCCCCTCAGCAGTCCCGAGAGTCGCGTGTTCTGGCGAAAGGATCGCCGTATGGCGCTATACCATAATTCCGTCGCGAAGACCAACGTACACGATGTCAGTTCCGACGGTGATACTCTGCAGGCCTTCCTCGCCCGGACAAAATCTGACCCGTATATATTGAGGTCCGGGGAAAGCGCTAGTCTGCTAGCAAGAGAGATCGGGAATAAGCTGTTCAACTTCTTGCTCAAGACGGGCGAGGACTTGAATACTTCGCTGCCGCTGTCGCAGCTGGGCATGGACTCATTGGTAGGTGTGGAGATGCGCAGCTGGTGGAGACAAGCGTTCGGCTTTGACATTACCGTATTGGAGATGATGGGGATGGGGAATTTGGAGGGGTTGGGGAAACATGCGGCGGAGGGGCTCGCAAAGTTGCTGGGTATTGAGTGAGACCGTCTAAATTGACTATACCAAAGGTATTAAAGTATAAATTTCACGGTTTCTGCCTTTATCCTAATCCTGTGCAACCTCATATAGCGTACGCAGTGTGTAGCCATCATCTGTACTGCTGTACATCCCATTTCTCTTGCCAATGGTGCGGCGAAAAGTACCTGGAATGCGTACTCGGAGCTGTTCCGTGACGCATTTGGGTGAATACTAGATATATAATCCAGATCTGGAATTAGATTACATTATAAAGATACGGTTTTGAAACTGAGCTTCTATGAGGCGTCAGCCTAGATTTATCTATATAAAATTAAGAGGAGTTATCATAGAGTGATAAATCTTTCCTAGATATTGATTCTTCCTAAAGGATCAATACAATATTCTATTTCCTATTTCATCATCTGTGTTATTTGAGAACTTTTAAGGAAGTCTGTGACTTTTTTGCTCAATTCTATTGCATCTATCAATATATATATTCAATGGAATACTGTGAGACTCGGGAATTTATAAGATAATTCTAGTGCACTAGTATGGGGCAGTATAACAGAACAGATATTAGTTCTCCCGCTAACTATTGCTTATGCTGCCTGCTGCCACTGACTAAATACATAAGTAACTACAATGTGTTGGACTCTATATGAGGAGTTGTGCGTATTCCATTTTCAAGTATTTGATAATAACGCTACGGTAGTTACACGGTTGCCAAGCCTCGCTTGCATAATGAAAGCCACCGCAGGGGAGGGGAGGTTTCAAAGACACTTTCACCAACACCAATACCGTCGTCTTCCCCTTCATCATGATCAATCTAAACGAGCTTGGTTTTATCAGGTGCGTGAATGAATCAGAAACGTCTAGCGTCTTCCAAGTATCTTTACAAGGACGACTATGTCTCATGAAGGTGGTAAGTGCATCCACTCCAGAACCACGCCATCTACATCATTTGTCAAATTGTCCTCGACAGCCTTAGTATCATGCCATTCAGAAACAACCATGGCATCCCAATTATAGGGGAATTGACCCTTGTATCTGCGAGAGCGCTGCATATGTTCGTCTGAAGGAGCGAGGGTTATGCCAGCAAGGGATTGTCCCAGGTTTTTATGGGGTAATCGATCAGGTTAAATAAATGCAATGGCAACCTCACTTGAACAAATTTCTGAAGGATAAACATCGCCCAAACGCCATCCTACTGGAGTTCATCCCAAATCTAAAGCAAATAGTGGTTGAAACATATACGGAAAACCGTGCTGCAGCACTTCTGAGCATCATTCAGCAAATCCATGAGGCTGGAATTTGCCACTGTGATCCATACCCTCACAATATGGTGGTTCGGCCAGAAACAGACAGAGTCCTCTGGATAGATTTTGATCGCGCCCAAAATTTTCTGACCGGTCTATCACCAATAGATATCATAGCTGGATGGAAGATGATACATTGATGGCCGCTGAGTTGTTAGACTTTCTGGTAAGAGACCTAGCTTTTTTCTACCGTATCTAGCTCACTGGGTCTTAAGCAAAGGATATAAAGCTTGGAAAGCTTGTACATGCTTGGGGTTATTGTTATCTTTACTCATGAATCCAATAAATCACCTTGATGAAACAGCAAGTAAAATTACACTTTGCGAAACATGCACAGTGCCAAAGTCACAGTAATGGGATAAGAGACGGAGCTACTCTATAAAGATTCAATGACAATGCACTGAGAACATGCCAACAGCTCCTGCGTATGGCTCCGTTGGGTGGTGTTGGCAACTTGCAGGTCACTTTAAGATACACAAGTATCAGGCATTTCTCGTCTCGTTTTGCCGGCAGTACTTGCCGCCACCAGATCTGCGTGGCCGTTAGATTTGGCCGCTCGAATTAGAAAGACCAAAATAAATAGCAGCTTACCAGCCCTGGCGAACAAAAGCCATTGTCGGTTTAGTATATAGCTTTATCCTATCTTTCTCGCATTTAGGCGAAAGGAAAGACTGCTATACTTCCACGGGCGGAGTTCCACAATGAAATTGACATTTTCCCAACCACTACCCATATCCGGGGAAATCCCGTCCACCAGTGCCTTGTCTGGCGTGGGCGTATCTTTGCTTCAACCAATCGGTAGTCTTGTAACGCAAAGCTTGGGGGGTTCAGCGGGGCCAGCAGAGAGTAGTGGAGCAATTGTCGTCGCGCTAACCGGTAGACCAAAAATCGATATATCGCGTCTAGTCAGCCAGGTGACGAGAGATACGGGGTCCCAACGTTAAATCAATTTTATAGGCCATGATTGTTGTAGGGAATGTATGATATTATCAGAATAGACGGACAAGGACTGCTTGTATATCAGCCGGTCAACTGGATGATCTGCAGCAATCAGACTTTCGGATGCTGCTTACAACTATCGACCGGTGCCAACCATCTGATACATGGTAGTGTGTATAGATACACGTTGTTTGGGTGCTTGGGGCATAAATGTAGAAGAATGGTATCTAATATTTATCAATAGTCTACCGTATCTCGAATTATACTTGACCATAGCGTGTCTCGTGCAGTCATTTAACATTCAAACTGGAAGACGCTGCGTCTGATTATATTAAAGTAACGCGAGGGGCGCTCATTGGACTACCGGAGCAAGGGAGAATGGCTGTTTATGCGAGATCTACTCCGACTACCTGATCTTACATTGGATGGAATCCTTTACCTATGATAGGAGTTTAACATGGTGGGGATAGCATGAGAAATGGCAAGCCCAGAGAGAAAGAGAATAGAGACGCAATTATATAGTTATTTGTATCTAGATTACAGATACTACCGTGGACTGGAGACAAAAAAAATTCCATATTATGTACTTAGTGTCTACCAAGCTAATACTACTTGTATATAGTCGGATTCATAGAAATATATAATAAACCAGCATACACAATATTAACAACAAGCACAAAGGATAGCTAAGGAGAAAACATGATTTATGTTGTGATATTTATATTGATTAGTGAGATGCCATATCAAACAAATAATTTTGAGAAAATTAATAGCATGACACAGATTGTGAGAGGTCATAAGATGTGTGAAATACGAAGTACGGGTCGATGCAGTTGCAGATCGAACTTTGGAATTCCCAACATTGAGCGCAGACCGGAATAGTACATATTGCAATGTGCTTTTTAAGACACTCATGTCTAATAAGTCACAACAAAGGACGAGCCTCATGCTACTAGTTACTCTTACTTTCAAACAAGTATGACCAACAGTGAGAAAATTAGGTGTGATTTAGACAAGGGCTGTGAGACCCGGCAAGTTCTCGGCGCTCGGGCTGATGGGGTTGGCGGCTTCCCGTCCCCCAACTATTCTGCATTCATCCCAGCTCCCTCACCCGCCAGATTCGTTCTAGGGATATTGTCGGATTCCCACCTTCCACCTTCCATTACTTGATGTAAAAGTCCCATTGTACTTTTTCAGGACTCCGAAGTCACCCCAGAATACCCTTCACCTGATCAAGAGATGGTGTGGGGAGAGGGGGAGGTTGATTGGTTAGTTAGTAACCCCCGATTCAAATCTGCGCCGGATAACCAACCAATTGCTTCACCATGATTGCGGTCAGCGTACTACAAAGGATTAATTTGCCATGCGACCGGAATCCTGCGGCTTCCAGGTATCGAAAAGCGGGAAGAAATTTGACTGCCTGTCCGGTGCTGCATGTTGGGGTTACACCAGTTGCGTTATATCGCCTATTAGTAAATTATTAGAATGCTGCAGGCGGCTCCACCCGACCAAGAAACCCTGGAGAGTAATTTGCTAATTGCTTAGTAGCATACCATAGTATGCCCGAGCCGGCAATTAGTTGGTCTGGTTGGACTAATCCTTCAGTCCTCTCCATCCAACGCCATATTATCTCCACCCACTTATGCCAGGCTGGACTCTCTGATAGGGGGACCATTGTTCATGCTGCCACCCGGCATCCACCGCCACCCACCCAAAAAAGATGGTTGCTTTTACTCCAGACCCCAGACTGCAGCGTCTTGTCTCACTTCCCTCCCCTGCCACCTGCATTTTGTTGCTCCCACATTTCCACCAAACTCCGGTCTTCCGTAAGCTTCAGCTGAAAGTTTGATCCCCACGGCCAAGTACCACACCACGGCGATTCCGATCAAAGGAACGGGGGGGAATTTCTCTGAAATTGCCACAACCAAGTGCGAGGTCTGTACCAAAGGCACACTTATTCTGCGTAGTGGACTAGATATCCACTTTTTTATGTTGTTGGAGCCGATGCGGAGGCCAAGCTTCGTGCTTGGGAAACAAGCAACAGGCCAAGCAACGAGCGGATGGGGCTTAGAGCCACTGAGTGGTCATGCCGTCCATGGGACGGACTGGCCTCGATACTGATATAGAGGGAGTCCTTTTGATAAGCCCGTGTGCACAGGGCCTCCGGGTTTCTCTCTTGCCCTGGTCACCCATTTCTGGTTCATCCATTCGGTGACCCCCGAGACCGTCTCCGCTCTACCATACTTGGTAGTACCACTGTTAGGCACTACTATGTAAGTAATAAGCAAGAGTCTTTTTGGGTTACGTGCTGCTGTGGCTGGAACCAAACATTCCAGATGTAAGAGCGTGGCAGCCAGGCAGATCTATTGTGTAAGGGGAATTGGTCCACGAAATTCGGTAAAATTGATGGGAAGCAAGACAAGGGGGCGCTAGTGCAGCGGTCGCATGGTCGCTGTCCCCATCCACTCGGTTCTCCGTCGGCAATTTCAATCCTGTCTTTCCCCTGTTGTCCGTTCACTTTCATTGATTGGGTTACTTATGGATTATGGTAATGAGATTCGGTTCACTGGCTTCGGGGGTCGCCCTTATCTTCCCACAGCCCGTTACGAAAATGGCCTTTGGTCCGATATGTGCGCATCCACAACGGACCACCCGCACCACCTGCTCTTCCCTAGGCCAACATTGGCTTACGGTGTATCAGACGGTGCTTCAGACCGAATTTTGCGATCCAATGATTTATCTGCAGACAATAATCATGGTCAGGTCTCA